TGATGAGGAGAAATGGCAAGTGCTCCCATGTAGTGCATGCTGAGACTAAGTGACTGGTGGCTAACAGTAGCGATGGTGGACGAGGTCGGTTTGCACACAATGGTGGCTACCGCATGCAGCATGTCGATGCGGGAGCATACCATACGTGCATATAGGCAACTTCAGATCCCATCCTCTGCAGTTGGATTCGTATACGATAGGCTGGAGTTCTAGGAAGACAATTCCTGTGACGTATCAGCTACATGCCACGATGTAGGAACGGGCTTGGTGATCTGACCGGGCCTCACAGAAAAAGTAGCCGTTGGAGCTAGGAATGCCGCGAATTACTAATAATGAGATGAAGTCTGAGATGACCCTTTGCCGCTTGCATATGCAGCCAGCACGCACCGACCAACGGACGAGATGCTTTAGGGAATTGAAGCCGCTGACTAGACAGCAAGTTCACAATCCAGTGTAACTAGTTTCAAGATGGACCGAAAGATGAGTAGCGGGTAAACGTAGCAGGGTACTAGGCAAGGTGGGTAGTTGCCAAGGGCGGCGAACCTACCTTCGTGAGACAGGCATCGTTTGAAACAGGCGACGTGGGCTGCGCACCGATGTTGTGTGAAACCAAGTTGTCAAACCCCATGGTTGCGGGGCCAATCGCATGAGCCTTTCCCCTTCCAGTGTGCGGCAGAGCTATGGAATCGATCCCGTTGGCCGTTGCTCATGAGAGAGGGAGAGAAGACAAAATTGCCTCGGATCGACCCGCCAGCCGGTGACAACAACGGTGTGATGCATGATCCTCGTGAGCCAGTCTAAAGAGCATACAGTAGCTTGTCAGGTGGTGGTAGTGCCAGCGGTTGATCAAACAGAAAGGAAGAGTAATCAAGGTTAAAGGTGGACGGGAACGTGGCCGGCGGAAGCTAAGCCAACCTTGGCCAAACTACGACCACGGTCATGCTATCCCCTGGGGGAAATCCCCCAACTGAGGTGGTCAAGCAGGAAGAGGTGTGGATCTGCTCCTGGCAAGGTATGGTCGAAGATGGACTTTAATCGCGGTATCCCAGCCTTGTGTGGGATTCAGGTCCGTTAAAAGTTGTATCACTAAGTGATGATTGTCCATTTGGGGCTGAAGCTGACAGTATGTTTTGGACAAGAGGCCCTCAAGACACCACAAGCACTGGACGGTATCCGTAGTGACGGTGCCCAACATACCCTCGTCGCTATGCTTTGACAGAGGGGCAGCAATATGGAAAACTTGGTCTCACCACCAGTTTTGGGCTTCCAACAACCCCATCTCTGTCCGCGCGAGCCTTATCCCTGGACGAATCAGATGACACGGGAAGTTTAGTATAGTATTAGCCAAAGACAAGGTAAGTTGGTCAAGTACGGAGTAAGGTTGCAAGGTAGAGTGAAGAAAGGTCCACTTGAGTTCACCACTCACATACACTTTGAAACGACGTCAACTAAGACTCTGTGCATTACATAATCATACTAAAAAGTCTCCTTACGTAATCACTCCTGTGGAGTCATGGGCAAATCAGCACTTTCAGGTACCTAAGCACTAAGGTGCTTAACAAGTCACTTGCCCGTGCCTGCGTGCTGCGCGCTGTGTGCCTGCCTGAGTAAAGACTCATTGTCTATCACCACTGCCTGCCAGAGCCAGGTTTTCGCCGGTGCACGGCACACTCATTACTTCCTTTCCTCTTCTTACTGTCACGTTTGGCGAACTCGAAGCAAACATCAAGTTCGTTGGCCCAATTACAGGGTCTCGGTTGACTAGATACCCGTAGCAAGTTGTGAGTCAAAATCCCAATGACTCTCATCTCTGGCTTATATGAGTACATCATACATACCCCCTCCAAGATGAGCTTGTAATTTCAGACAACGTCTTGATCATATTCATATCACTTGTCCCTAATGATTGATTTTTCGACACCAAGTCCTGGCTCTCTTGGTTTGACTCACCCTTCTTCGCTCTACTCATCTTGACTTGTCGCGACCTGTCTCGTCTCATCGCCCTGACGCCTTGCCCCAACCTTACTATCCATCAGCTAACCGCGCACCAGCCACTCGTATCGACTTTTCATCTTGAGCTCACCATCACCTCAAACCCCAGTGCGGTCTTGCATGATCAGCCGCACCCACATCATCAACCCACCATTCATCGACTTCCTTTGACGATCCCGGGATCCAGACTGCTTGCCTCAAGGCCTGTGCTGCGCCCTTTCCTTACCTCATGCAACCGCGCTTGTGCTTGCGCCTCCGCCTCCATCACCACTGCTACCACGACCACCCTAGCCAAGGTGATTAAGCTGGGGCTGCTTCTGGAGTGAGACCAGAAGGACTCTATCTCGAAACTCAAAGATCAAGGCCCGTGGTCTAACGCGGCGCACGTTCTACCCCTCGACTTTCTGCACTGGCGCATCTGCCGACTCGACACCTTCCAACTGTCAGGCCTGTCGTGTCATGCTACGTACCTGTGCTCGGCCTCGATCTGTCTTGACCTGGAACCGCTGCTCGGTGCCGCGCGCATCCTTGTACCCTTGCCTCATGAAGAGAAACTTTGACGCGTTTGTGGGTCGTCCGTCTGTCTCTTCGCCGTCCAAGATGACCACCTCCATTGCCGCCTCGTCTATGAGCAACTTCACCACCGCAAATGATCCCCCGACACTCAGTCTTACTTCCAAAGAGCAGCAATTGAGGGATCTTTTGGTTGACGTTGCTGCCTTTATCGATGGAGCCGGTCGTTCACCTGAGCCTCTCGTCCTTCGATGGGCTGGGGGCTGGGTTCGTGATAAACTCCTTGGCATAGAGTCTCACGATATTGATACCGCCATCAATGCCATGACTGGGTATGCCTTTAGTCTGGAGCTGCGCGACTACTGTGCTCTAGAAGAGCATACAAAGAAGCACAGTATTGGTCCCGATGATATGGGCAGCCTCCACAGGATTGCCGCGAATCCCGATAAGTCGAAGCACCTCGAGACAGCGACTACGCGTATGTTTGGTCTGGACGTTGACTTTGTCAATCTACGCAAGGAGACGTACACTCAGGACAGTCGCAATCCTACGATGGAGTTTGGTACTGCCGAGGAAGATGCTCTGCGCCGCGATGCCACCATTAACGCCCTCTTTTACAATTTGCACACCGGCCTGGTCGAAGATCTGACCGGAGGACTCGCAGACATGAAGTCTCGCCTGATCCGCACACCCATGGAGCCTTTCCAGACCTTTACAGACGATCCCCTCAGAGTCCTGAGATTGCTCCGCTTCGCCAGTCGTCTCGACTTTTCAATTGATCCTGCTGCCACTGCAGTCATGGCCGACCCCCAAGTTTTGAACGCTCTGAAACTTAAAATTAGCCGCGAAAGGGTTGGTGTCGAGATGGAAAAGATGCTAAAGGGTTCGTCTGCCTATGCTTAACTTTTTTGATATACGAATCTGGTGAACTGACTCGTTTGGCTTTGTGCTGGAGCAGGTAAGAACCCATGCATGTCTCTGGACTTGATTCGAACCCTCAACCTGTACGAGGCCATCTTCACGGATTCTAGTGATAGCGGTCACCCGTCACCTGATCTCTCCAAGTGGAAACTGGCCTACGATCTCCTTGACAGGCTCGCTCATGACAAGGACCCCGGATTGATCTATGATGTTCTCGTCACATCCGACGAAGCTGCATACTTTGCTTGGAATTTGGCTGCAATTACCCCGTACTCCCACATAACGGAGGAAGTACCATTACCAAAGGCTCGGGGTACTGTGCCTCTGACTACGCTGGTTGCCCGGGAAGGCATCAAGGCCCCCAACAAGCTTTGCGATGTAATTACTGCAGCATATCGCCACCGCGTCGAGATTCTTGGTCTGAAGAAAAGCTTTGGTGCCGGGCAATCTAGGACTACCGAAAGGGGCATCGTTGGTATGGCAATTCGTAAGTGGGACAGCCATGGAGGCCACTGGCGAATCCAGGTACTCTATGCCTTACTTGTCGAGGCTATTGAAAGGTTGCCATCCGATTCACCTACGGGTAAGTACCGCCATCTCCGTACACCTCGTACCTTGCCCCGGAAAAGCTTGCTCATTCCGCCACAGACAGAGCAGAGTTTCTCTCTGGATGGCAAAAGTTCCTGGACCACCTTACTGATCTGGACGTCATGGACGCACCTTCGTTGACGCGCCTGGTGGACGGGCGATTGCTGGGAAAAGAACTCGGTGTCCGCCCCGGCAAGTGGATGGGCCAGGCCTTGGATGTTTGCGTTGCCTGGCAGCTTCGTCACCCAGACGAGACTGAGCCGGCAGGGGCCATCGAAGAGGTGCGACGACGGGCAGTAGAACTAGGGATCGAAGGGCTTCCCATATGATGAACCCAGCTGTACTGGGCAGAATGCCCTTGAAGACGGGCTCTGCACTATAAATCGAGCTAAGACTTCGACTGTCTTTGACAGTGCTAGATGCAGGTTCTACTTGACAAAGGAGTGACGGCGAGGAGGGGTTATGCCGGTGAAGACAATATTATTGCCTGAGGGGGGCCGGCTTGAAATACCCGAAGACCACTTGCTTATTGAAGCTGTGAGGGAAATGCCACCAAATTTTCTGTGACATCTCTCTGTCTATGAAGGCAGATTTTCTGTATATTCCTTACGTCTTCAATGCGGCGGTCCTTCATTGCCGGTCTGCCTGTACTCGAGTACAAAATGTTGGAGAAGCCTGCACAGCACCACACAGTGTAGAACACTATATATGTACTGTACATGTCTGTACGATTTGCCCTCTGAAGGCTGCACGCATTGATTTCGCTCTCACTGTGCCCGCTCAATCCTGCTGCTACTTGCTTCCATCAACGGTTAACCATCTACTTAATTTCGGCAGCGAAGAAGTCAGACTTCTCATGTCATCCGTGGTCCCAACTTGCCCAGAAAGGAACCTGTCATACGACCTGCATACAAGTAAACAAACCGCATCAAGGGCCCTGTCCCGCCTCAATCGTCCACGTTTATTTGGTCTCACCATTGCCCGCTATGCTCTCCGACGTAGTTGAGGCCCTGCATCGAGCTACGTCAAGCTCACTTGAGTTCAACGTCGATAGAGGTCCGCATTTCCCTCGCGATCAAAGCAGTGCTTCGTTAGACATTGGAAGCTGACAGGAGCTACAGATCTACCAAAACGATATACTCTCACAGACCTCGCACAAGACTTATCGGAGGTCGAGCATTTTGTGGGTTCGACCTATTAGTCCATCTAATTCATCTTACACTGTTAGTCATTAACACCACCAGCAGCCACCAATATCCACTCTCAGCGCTCTTTCACTCTGTCTCAGAAACGCCGACCGCATCGACGAAGGGCCTCAAGATCACGAGTCTATCGCACAGCTATCTAGCCATGCACTAGGATTACTGAGCAGCTCTTCTGGCCCGCTGTCAAACACTGACCCAGCTCTAGCCGAGCAGGCGTTGGATATCTTGAGAAGTCTTGTCGTGAGATTTTCTCCATCGCTTGACGACCAAGATCTCATTGCTATTGCTGCATACACCGACCGCAAGAGAACCTGGACGACCGTCAATGCAGAGCTTTATGCTAGAGAGATCCTGGAGCGTTCATTGGACGGTGTTCAAAAGCAGGCGTTCATCACATCGGTAGTGCTGGAGGGCTTTATTCGACCCCTCTTCTCTCGGAACAGCTCTAGTCGCATCACTTCAACCGGCAGAAAAGCTCATTTCGCCGACGACAGTCAGGACCGCTTCACTCCTGGCGCTTCCGCTGATACCGATGACGCGAAATCTTGGAAAACCACTCAAGCTTATGCCGTTACAGTGTTTTCCTGGGCTGTGGAACAATCCCATGTTGGTCACACTTCCGATATCAAGTAGTCATGATGCTGGAATGGCCGGCTAACCATTAATCTACAGGATGCGCTTGTCGAAAAAAGTTGGCCATTGTTCACTCCAGTTCTCCTCGCTCTCTTAGACGACCCCGATACAGAAAATAAAGCAAGGGGCCTGGCTGTTCTAGGCGACTTTCTCGTCAAATGCCCAGGCAAGGTCCTCGTCCAAACCGGCCTGGGTGACATATTTGAGCAATCCGTCTTCCCCACCTTACTATCCTTGCCAACTCTGACGCCTGAGAAAGAGTCCCTCCTGCTACTTGATCCGGCATATAGTGCAATCATCCGGCTTGCCAAAATTCAGTTTCCTGGGGAGGGGGACAGAGACAAAAAGAAAGGACTTCTTACTCGTTTGCTCAGGGAAGGAGTTTTCATGGGCTACTGGCAAGCGTCCGACTATGTTGGAATTGTTGAATTACTTGCTCGACAAACGACCTCTATCGTCAACGAACTCGGCTTTCTTGCCACAGCACATTTGAAGGTAACTCCACATGTCTCCAGCGTGGTGCCTCGACTGCTAACTCTTCCATAGGAACTCCTGTCCATGGTTTCTGCAATCATGACGGACCCCTTTCTCGCTTCTCATCCGAGCAGCATACAAGCGGCTGCGCAGGCATTCGGTGCCATACTGGTGAACTGCTGGCCGAGAATTCCAAACGGGACACATGCAGGCGAAGTGCTTAGATCCACCAGCGTTTGCTGGTTGAATATGCTCGCTGAGCAAAGGAACGGGCCTGAGAATGCGGCGACCAAAGAGGCTTTAGCTGAAATCTCCAAACTTGCACCTATCCTGCGCGCGATCTTTGCAGCGGCCGATATGCCCTTAAAGCCTCACATATCGGCATTGCTAGCTGCGGAGCCTAGGCTCGAAGACTTGTTTGGAGACCAGGGGGATGGGGCAGTGGCGGTAGGTGAAGGGAACAGCGGAGGTGACCTCAATCAAGTGGCTGCTGTTTGAAGAACGACTTGCCACGAAGCCATTTCCTATAGGCCTTGTATCGCTTCTTCTGAGCATCCTCCTCGGTAACGGTAAGAGGATTGCTGCCAACCTTGAGGAGCTCCGCATATACAGCGATATCCTCCTCGGTACCGACAGGCGTTATCGCGTCGCTTTGCTCACTGCTCTGGACATAGTGCTGGTACTCGGATTGGTTTTCTGCCTGGATCGTTTCGGCAGACACTACCAGCGGCAGGTTTTGAGGGTGGCTGATGTACCGCTCATAGTCCTCGGCCTCTTGTTGGCTGACAGATGGATTGAGGGACTCACTAACGGCCTTCGTGAAGGTCCATTGAGCCGCTTTAGTCTTTTCCTGGGCTGTGGGCTTGATCTTTGACGGATCTTGTGGTTCTGCATGGGTCTCTTTCATAATTCCATGATGCCCAGTCACTCTGTCCTGCATTGGCTGAAGCCAGCGGTGAATGGAAATCCCCTTCCCACCTGCAGTACGGTCTGACATGACCGATGCAGCGTCAATGTCCCGAGGGGACTTCAAGTCTTGCGGATCGACGATTGTCACCTCTTTTTTGGGCTTCTTCTTCTCGTGGGCGTCCATATCAGTCTCATTGCGAACCCGGAAAGGACTCAGGTCATACCGTCCATCTTGCGTGGATTTGAAGGGTATGTATTTGATGGTTGAGTTCATTTTATAGGGAAACATTTTCAGAAATGACGAGAGTGTGGATGGGCGATAGTATTCGACCCAGTAATCATCAAAGTGAGATACTGGCTTGTTCTTTGCCTCGCCTGGGGGTGGCATGTAAGGCGGAAAACTTCTTTCCTGCAAGTTATCTGCAGTATACCAATTGATGTAGTTTCGCTTCGTCTTTTCGGACCAAGCTCGTGGGTCCGCGTGATGAAGGTAGTAGTCGGTCGCAAGGTCCCATAGCATTGGTTGCCCTTGAGCAAATATGTAGTTGCCGAGGAAGAGGTTGTACGCTTCTTGGCGCTGCCCATCTAGGAAAGAGTTATTGTAATACCTCTTGAAGCTCTCGATCATGTCGCGAGAGTGGCTCGTCCATTGATTGATCTTGCGGTATGTCTCCATGGTATTGACAAGCTGGGAGCCACCATATTGCACAGCAATAGTGTCACCGTGATCGTGATACATGTGAGTGAAGAGATTAACGGCGTCTGTGTCATAGTTGATGGAGGTGTCTTCGAGAATGCCGAGTGCATGAAGCTGATGGCCTAGGGCCCTCTTCCCAATGACGAATTGGGCAGCGTTGGTTCGGTCAAGACAGTCTATACAGTTGGTTCGGGCCACGCCGTTTTGGACGCTGGTTGGGTACACCTTGCCGTCGCCATCATGGAAGAATCCGGTCGTGGTGACAACATCCTCGGCAATGCGCTCCAGTGTACCTATAACGTCCTGGTCACGACTCTTCGCCGCTCGGCTCATGTCCCACGCCTTGTGAATGATTTTGCGGCCTTCGGGTAAGAACTGGTTCAGGTAGTTGATTGCGTTTGTATACTCCAACAGCAGCTTGGATTCCCGCGGCGTCCGTTCTCTCGCTTTGACGAGATTCAGCACATAAATAGGAGCGCCGTAGCGCTCGAAAAGGTTGTCGAAATGAAGAGCGGCAGCACTGTAGAAAGGATCGACGAGATTCAACTCGATGGGGGGTTTTGGTGTCACGCCCGTGTTATCCTGTGTCCAGTACAGGGGAATGCTTCCCCGGTGCTGAACATAGGAAGTGTACTGCGGGCTGGAGAATAGCCTGTGTCCTGGGGCATGGAATGAAGTTGTCAAGGCTTCTGAGACGACTTGCTCCGTCTCAACATCATTTGCAACGTAACCCTATTCATATAGTGTCAGCCGCATTGTTTCTTGCATACTAGTTGGGCAAACTCACGAGGTCGTTGGCCCCTCGTTTGAGAAACCTCGCACCAGCAAAGAAACGAGATCGCCGAGCAATGATGGTGATATACGCAGTGCGCCCGTATATCGATAAGGCTATGAAACGCAGTCAGGTAGATGCCCAGTTGACTTATTAGTGTCATTTGCCAGTACTCACCAGCTTGGTCAATATAACCATGGATGATGGGATGGCACCAGTCGAACGGGTCCTTGAGTGCTTTCATGGCCGGCTGCAGCAGGTGGCTGTTCCACACAAACATGCCATTGAAGTCATCCATGGTCCCTGGAAGCCCCCGCGCAAGCGCTTCGCGCTCCCTTGTCAGATTGTGCTGCAGTGTGCGTGTAATATCGTACGAATAGCTGTAATAGAACGACCTGGTAAGATCCAGGTTGTTCAGTATGCCCAAGAACCGGGACTCTTCGGTGTTGCGAACGTCCGCCTTGAATCGATTGGGCGTCAGCGGCACAAGCTCTGTACCATCGACTTGGTAGATATAATGCCCCCCAATCATTGCCACTGTGCTCTTTTTCGTGATCAGGAGCATGTAGTACGGTCCAGTGAATTTGATGAAACCTAGCAAGCCCCAGGCAGTGCATCGGAGCTTGATGCCACCAGTGCCTTTGTTGCCATCGTCGATCGTATCCAACAACTGGTTCATCTCCTTTTGGCTGTAGATGATCTTGTCGTCCGTAATGCTGAGCTCCGAGTCGTCGGTTGTTCTTTCAATCTTGAGAATGCGGTACCGCTTCTCCGTCACGTCTCCCCCCACAATGTAGTACCGCGTGGCAGTCTCATAAAGGCTGAATTTATGCATCTTGCGATCGAGGCGATCGGGACCCTTTTCATCATAAGCATCCGCCGCCCGAGCTGCAGAGTCAGGACTTGACGTTCTGACAAAGGGCTTTGCGACCGCGGGTTCTTCATCGACGTCATCTTCGCCGGGACGGATTTGCATCGCAGCATCGGAGGATAGAGCTTTCGCCGTTTCGTCGTTGTTGAGAAGTGGGAATACTGGTGAAAGATCTCGGCTGGATTTGCCCTTGTCAGCGTCGCCGGTGAAGGGTATGGGAGGATTCGAATCGCGGGATGCCGATCTTGCGGCCATCTTGGAATGAGTTGCGCATCCCTATCGAGAAATGCAATGGGCAAGTTGCCTGTTCGTCGGGAGGGCATACACGGGGATATGGAAATTCGGGTTTGCCTGGAAGACTTGCCTGCCGGGCAAAGTTCAAAACGACGTGACGTCACAGAAGCCAATAGGATACTTCTAACTGATATTTTATTAGAAATCGTTAAATTAAATAGTTTCTTCTTAGAATACATACCTTAATTAGAGTAATTAAGTACTAGTTTATTTATTTTTATATTCTACTTTTACTAGCTACTCAGGTAGTTCTTAATATTAATTATATAATATTAATATATAATAAAAATAAATACTACTACTATTTTAATAAACTATTTTTTAAAATTTTCCTTTGCTTTCCTTCTTATAAAGTTTATAACTACGGATTATTAATAATAATATTAAGCGCCCGATGTTATTATTTTATAAACTTATTATATACTTAATTAAGTTAGCTACTTTTTTAAATAATAATAGCTTATAATAATATAATATTAAAAATACCCTCGGTACTATTATTATAAATAATACTAACTTTAAAATATTTACTTTAGTATTTTTTAATTTATTTATATATATATATATATATATATATATTTAATTTTATATTTTACTTTTATTAATTATTTAAGTAGTTTTTAATATCGATTATATAATATTAATATATTACTATTAATAATCTTAAACTTTATAAGAAAGAAAGTTAAAAAGGTAGAAAATTTAAAAAAAATAGTTTATTAAGATAGTAAAAGTATATACTAATACTATATATTAATACTATATAAACGATACTAAGAATTGCCCGAGTAGTTAGTAAAAAAAAAAAAAAAAAAATAGTATTAATTATAATAAATTCGGGATATAACTAGTAATAAGATACTAATAACTTAGTAACCTATATACGAATCGTATTATAAAAGAACTTTTTAAAAAATAGAGCTTATATAAAAGATTTTATAAGCTTTAATTTTATAATATATTTATATTTATATTATAACCTTATTAATTAAGTATTTATAGCTTAATTTTTTATAATTTTAAAGCTTTTATTTTTATAAAATAATTAATATAAATAATAATAAATTATAAAAACGAACGGAACGTAAATAAAATAATATTTAATTATTAATAAAAAGTTATTAATATTAACGAACTATAATTATTTAAAGTTAATTACTTAACCCTATTTTATTTAAAAAAACGAGCTTATTATAAAACGAGTTTTATTTAAATATTAATATTTATAAAAAAGCTAAATAAAAAAAATAATTAAGGTAAATTATTTTTATAAGTTAGTTATTTTATTAATACCCTAAGGACCTTATTTATTATAAACGGGGCGTTTATTAATAACTAATTACTAAATATATAAGGTCTAAGTACGTATAAAAGTATAAATAATATTAAAATAGCTAGTTTAGTAAACTTTATAAGCTTAATAATAACTTATTTTTATAAAATAATAAAGATACTAATTAAAAACCGAAATTAAAAACGGTATTAATATAAAAAGCTTATTAAATAACTTACTAAGTAATTAATAATAT